TCTTTATTTATTTATTTCTTGTCCTGACTTTCAACTTTTAAGAATCATGAGTTAGTGAATAATTCAGTACCATTTAAAGTGAGTGACGATCAGCATTTTTTTTCCTTTGAAATGCAATAATCCTAGCTCAAAACATTAATGCGTGAGGTAAAGATCTTTCTTTATAGTAGCAGAATCTAATTTAGAAAAGTGCATTATTGATTCTATCCATTTGTCAGAATCTGCAGTGGTATTGAGCTCAACATTGCCAGTAACTAGAAATGTAATGTGTATATGAAAAAAGCCAGGTGCATTGGAATTATCAGTAATTTTATTAAAATTCAATAGACATTTAGTTCATTTATTTCTATTTTAAGACTTAAATATTGGCTTTGTCTTCACCTTGATGAAAATTTACTGAAGAAAGAAAACACCATAACGATTTATTTAGCAGTCTGGTCAAGCTGCAAAGGCTAAAGATATTTTTTTTTTAATGTATGAGCTGGAGTTACTACCTAGATTGCTTGGAAAATGAACTCCAGGGGAAAGACTCTCTCCCCCTCCCCACCATCTGCACAGGAAATTGCAAAATGCTCCATGACCAAGATTGACCCCGGTTTATAACTGGGATCCTAGGTGGCATTTTAATATCTTTTAGTGTTAATGTTTTGAAAGAGTCATGGAGGAAGATCTAGTCTCCTCTAACTGATATTTTACTGGAAACAAGCTCACTAGTTATTGAAAGCACTTTCTCTATGAACTCCTAGAATTCCTGAAATAAAATGATTGGTTTGACAGCAATATTTCTAAGATTCTTCCACAGGCTTATGAGACTCGGGAGAGAATTATTATAAAATTTGACACTTAATTTTGTCCTGCTATTTTTATAAAATCAAGTTTCATTACCCTGGAGACATCTTCTAAAGCAGGGTCAGAAAGCCTCACAGACTTGATGTGGTACAAGAAGATAGATTATGATCCACTTTACTTACGGAAGTCTGTTAGGAAGTCTATTATCATTACCACCTAAGTTTGCTAAGGTAGCATGATGTGCTTCTGTATCTCAAAATCTAATCATGGTCCAGTATAAAATTTCTGGTTTATATCTCAGCTTAAGTACCAGGATGTCTTGTAAATATAGTAGTCTCCCATCTCTAAGGTCTTCATAGAATGAGCTGTTCCTTAAGTGTTCAGTCCTGTATCACTGAAGCCAAAAAGAATGTGTATGATTATCGTTTCTTGCTTTCTTTTCTGACCTTAGCCTTGATTTTTCACAAAGCAACTGTCAGCCATCTGGCAGTTAAACTCTTCAGAGTCACATAACTGACTCAGAGAATTTCACATTGTGCTATCAAGATCCCAGAGATAGTAACATAAAACTTAAGGAATACTGATTGTCCATACCTGAAGTGCCAGTACAAGCACCTAAGACGCTACAGTTATGAATGAGTTGCAGACATGTTACAGAGATATAAAACTACTTGCAATAATGGATGAATGAATCAAAAGCCCTTAAGGATGATACATTTTATCACGAAGATAAGAATTCAATATTTATGCATAAACAAAATAGCAGATGGCTGAAAACAATCAGAATGCTTCAAGATGCTCCCACATATTCAGACTTTGTGAAGCCCAGGCTACTTCATCCTGCCAGCTACTAAAAAAACTGATCAGTTTATTTTATATTCACTTAGGTAAGACCATTAGTAATTTTTGTTGTGTTGTATTCCATATAACACTAATTTGCATTTTTATATACAGCTGTCCATCCAACATGACATTACTTCAGTAAGTCAGGCAAATAGGAGTATTTCAAGATGAAGAATCTTCTTTCTTTTGTACTAGCTGCTGAGCTTCAAATCTGAGTTCCAGATAACTGCTAAGAGCAGGTCCTTTAATTAAATCATCTCAGACAGATCTCACTGGGGCATTAAGAATAAATCCAACAGATCTAGGGGTTGCTTCTAAGGGGAAAAAACCAAATATATGGGAACTGTCATAATTGTGAGTCCATCCAGCCCACCAGCCTAACTCTAACTGGAACCACTAGCAGATAAGGCAAGAATTTAAAAAAAGAGGGAGATATATATGCAGTGATCCTTCCCACAGTATATTCTGAGACTAGTACAATGAGCATTTCAGGGACATTCTGAGTTAGATATTACATCCAGATCATAAAACTTAATAGCAATCTGTGGAATTCTGCTCTATACAAGCATTTAAATAGTTTTTGAAGACTAATGCTGTCTTTGCCGAAATGTCTTGTGGCAATGAGTGCCTCGATATATTCACATGTTATGTCAGCTGCCTGTCCGTCTGTAATTTCATGCAATACTTCCTTGTCCTTGTGAAAAGTTGTGCATAATTTTTCTCTATTCACCTGTTGGTATTATTCATCCGATCCCATGATCTCGTAGGTAGGACAAAGACGACTTAGAGTAAGCGTTCCAATTCCCAACTTTTAGCTCCACTGAGTAATTTAACACTACACTTCAGAATACAGCCTAAGGGCCTAATTAGGTTTGCATGTGCTAGCAACTTCTCACCGGCTACTGATTTTGAGGCCTAATTAGGTCTTAAATCTAATTTTAGATAATCAAGTTTGAAATCTTTGTTGCTATCTCCAGATCGGACTCAATTTGAGGTAACTAAAATACAGGACATTTTTGCAAAGTATTGTTCATTTTGCCTGTTGCCTGATTTCCTTATTTGTATAATAAGAAAAAAATGATACAAACATTTATGTTATACAAAACTTACATGAAATATTTATTGTATGTTAACCATTCAGATATCTTATATTTTATGCAACTGAATGAATTGAAAAGAACTTTTCAGCAAGATCTTTATACCCCCTATTTTAAAGTTCCATGAATATTTCTCTAGATATGCTTTTTTCATCATTAAGTATACAGGCACATAATTTAGGCTCTTTCATAGACATTTTGATACATTTAAACACATAATATTGTTGAAAAATGATGTTTTCTTGAATGCTGCTGATACTAAAAGTTCATATATAAACAAACCTTGAATTACACCACTTTCGTATCCTGTTCCTACTTCACACTGTGTAACATAATGGGCAAAGATGAGAAGAATTTTTTTTTAAACTATGGTACCTGCATGATTTATTAAACATCATTCATTTTCTTTGAGGTGAGCTAGGAAGGGTCAACTTTGAAAGCTGCAGAGGAGAGAATTACACTTATACCCGTGGCAGCCAAGGACACATACTTGGAACATGCACACAGCTGATACAAAACTAACCTGGAGCTGGATTCTAGTTAGGGTTGGGTTATGCAGCTTTAGGAGTTAAAAAGCTGAATAGCGTTCAACTAGCTGATGAAAGAACTGTTTTGTAAGTTTTAGGAACAACTCATAGCATATCACAGGTTTCAAATCTGTAACTATTTAAAGAATAGTGAGGTACACACTAATTTTATTCCTATACTATGCAATATTGTTAAGCAAAGTCATTAGCAGAAGAGCCCTACCCAAATCCTTGTCTATTAATATGTTTAATAACTCAGTGTAGATGTGCTATGTTGATGACAGTGGCATTTATGGCTTTTATGATAGAATTAATGATGTCTAAAGTTTTACTTGCATTTTTTTATTTATAAAATTTTAAAATTTATAAATTCTTTAATTTTTTAAGTGTAATTTTGGAATTAAAGCTAGCTACATCTTCAGCTACTTTATTACGGGGCCAACTCATCATTAGAAAGAGTATAAACATATACTAGGGTTTTGCTGAAGAATCCCATGCTTAGTGTGAAAAAGAATACTAAATTATTTCTCAGTTTCCTCAGAAACCCATATTTCTAAGTTGTACATAGGTATCTGGTAAATCACAGTCATAACTGAAGGATGAAAATTTTTCAAAGGTCTTCTGTTGAACTAAATGCTTACACGCGTTTAATCTCAAATGTTTCCATTTATATGAAATGCTGGTCAAACACTTTTTAACAAACATTCTTTAGAGCAAAATGTACTTCTTGTTCAATAAATGGTATTGTCCCAGAATCAAACATGCAGTAAGTGTGGTGCTAAACGAACAAGGAGTTCTGTGAACTTGAAATCTAATTCAAATGTCTTTTACTTTATGTTGACTTAACCATCTCCCCAACTGAATTTCTAAAGCACTGCTTTATGCTTGTACTTTTTTCCCCAAATATTCAATATCTTACAACATTAAGGAAGAATTTCTAAATCATTAAAATGAAGTGGAAGGCCATCAATTACAAGTTTTTTTACGGCATTGCTCTTAAAAAGTTTAATAATACTTCATGCAACTATAGTGAACATATAGTTGTTTCTACATGATAGTAATTTAAAAATGTCAACTAATTTGCATATCTGAAAAAGAAAAATAGACCGCAAGACCAAAGACAACATAATTCAATGAACTGTTTAAAAAATAAATGCTAAAAATCCATGTTTGTCCTGTTAAAACCATATTCAATTGTTGAACTGACAAAATAATAAAACCAAATACTGTCTCATATGCTTACTGCTTCTCTCATTTGTAGTTACATGGACTGTCTTTCTACTTCCTATCATGTAGTGATGCCATGAAAAAAGAAAACTCCTGATAATTAAGAAAAATAATATTCATTGTGTGCTCTTGCAGCTGAGGAAAAAAGGGAAAATCTTTACTTTTGATCAGCAATGTTCTCCACACCTCTGGCAAATTTCCTATCAACACACTGAGATAAGAACTTCTGATTTCTAACCAGCTCTTCACACAGAAATCCCACCAGCTTCTAAGGGATCGGTACGTACAAAGTTTGCTAAATTTAGTTTTATTTCCTACTCATTTCCTTTAACATCTACCCCAACTATCTCTGGACGAAAGACACCCACCTAAATATTTTCCAGTTTCTGGGGCTGGTTTTGCCCTTGAACAGTAATAGGAAGGGGAAGACCTGAGCATGCCACATTGCTTCAGGATATCAAACTCACGCGCTACATAACTTAAGAAGATAGAGTTTTTAAGCAGTCAAAAGTGATACCTTTAGCTCAGGCATGTTTATTATAAGCTGCATAGGTAGTTTAACATCTGGGTCCTTTGTATAGTCCATGGGCACAACGTTTGGTGCCATTTCATGGTATCGGCCATGCAACCTGTAAACAAGCAGAAAAAAACAGCCAATAACCAATTTTAAATAACCAATTCCATTCATACAATAATCAGACACAAATTTGTCTTGCAGCTCTAATTATTATTTTTAGTGCACAAGTCTGAGCCCACCAAATTCCCATCTTTTTGAAAAGAAAAAAAAAAAAAAAAAAGAGGGCTTTGATGTAGTATCCAGCATAACTGCTACTAACACCCATGAGTAACTTGAGGTGTTTCACGCTAGCTGTATATAACATTTAAGCACTGTATAGTACACAGAAGTAGGCCTGAACCAATGTACTAACACTGTGAGTATTATCCAGGGATCACATCTCAGTGCAGAGTATTGGTGGATCTGCACTATGCAAGAAGAAGTTGTTTAACAGCTCAAAGAATTTAAAAGCCAAACAATATGCAACTATGATCCTATAGACAACAGTATCCTTGGGAGGCCTTACTTCTGAATTAAAAAAGCCCTTTTCCTATCTGTGCCTCACTAACATAGCAGATTTAGTCTTACAATTCTAGCACTGGCTGACACCAGCCCACAGACTATTTCCACTTCATTCCATTTCACGTAGTTTTGTTTCATTCTTGGCTCAGCTTACTCATCAAACCAGTATATTTTAAAGGCAATAAACAAGTGTTTTTCCTGAGAGATGCAAGTCAAACATTCATAAACCTAGTTTCACTCTCTAAAGCTTGCTTATCACGCTAACAGTATTATGTTACAGTTTTGGTAAGGGAGCTGGGAAAGGAAGAGTCAAAGGCCATTAAACACATCAATGTTTCTAAAGGCTTAGAAGCTGAATACCAGTAAATTATAAAAACTGTCTCAGTCTCACGTACAACCTGGGCAAAGACTGCACAAATGTTTCTAAGACATTACTTCCAACTGTTAACTGAATTAACTTAACAAGTGTTAATCCCACCCTTTATTTGCTGTCTCCAAATATTCCAGTGAATGAGTTCAAAAGCATAGCCCAAAAGCCAAGAGAAAACAGCCATGTGTAAAGAAAACATCAAATTAAGCGGGATGCAAATTTTAAAACTATCTTAGCACATTTATTCTCACTGGGATGCTCACTCAAACTAGGAATAGAAACATTTGAAGTAAAATGGCTATCCAATTCAAACTCACCAATGGATCTCAAATTTTGAGCTCTCAAACAAACTACAGACAGAAATTGCCTGGTAAGTAAAATATTACCTTTCTAGAAGCAATTCATATATTAGAGACATTAATTCTACTGATTTTCTGATTTTATGGATTCTAGTGATATCTTATTCTAGTGGACAAGTATCTAGAATCCAGGATTCTGTCAAATAACAGCACAAAAAGGTTGGAGAGAGAACACATGTATCCTAGTGCTCAAAGATTAGTCAGAGATCAATATATTTAGCATGAATGTATGACTTGCCAGTCCTTTATGAAATACCACATGTGTAAAAAGAATAGGAAGGAAGAGTAGGTAGCTGCTGTTCACAGAAAACTTAGAAAATGTCATGTACTATAAAACGTAATTTTTATCACATGTGAAAATTGCCTTACACCTAATTCATAAACTGCATAGGGCAGGAAGTCGTCATTTTGCCATGCCTTATGTACTAACACAGAGTATTCTGGTCTCTCATTAGGTCACATGTACTACTTATATATATTAAAAAGCCATATTTATTATTTTGTGACTTATTTTCATTTTAACAAAAAAATCCTGCCTGCTCACTAGGTGTACTAACAATTACAAATAGACATGCTTTAAACAGCAGAACATAAACAAACCATTAATACAGGAAGTAATGCCTCACCAACCCCTTCAACTTTCCAGCTTTAGCTTCAGCAACCCCTCAGTCAGCCCCATAAGAAACTGAGCTATTTCAGATTTATGTGGGTAATGAATTTCAAGGAGAGAATAATCTACAGGCATCTCTCTTCTCAGCACCTCTTCGGTCATGACTATGATGTGTCATGAAGAACATAGAAAGGGAACATAGAAACATGTTTTGTCTGGCTCTTAGGAAACTAATGTCTTTACAGTGTGCAGCAATATATTGTGCCATACAGGAAATTAAATATCCACTGATCTAAGCATATTTCAGCTGCTTACCACAGCTTACCCTGACATTTCATAAATACTGTGTAATTCAAGATGCAATAGCCATTTCTTACTCCAGCAACTGATTCCTCTGTTGTAAAACAGCAGCTACAAAGATGCCCCTAAATACAACAGAAAAAACAGCTTAAAAGCACTTAAAGGAAAGCAAACCTTTCAAATCAAATATCCATCTAAAGATTTTTTTTTTTTAAGCTAGAATACTGAAATGGTGTTCTAGTCTTCACGAAAATAAAGCATTCATCATTGGAATGACTTGACCATTGTGGACAACACTTCAAAACACACTAGCTGGCAATGCCTGCTTATTTTAACTGCCAAGATTTTCTTCTCTACTTTAATATTAGACTTTTCTGCCTTTGCTCTGTCTCCTCCAACAGGACTATGAATACAGACACGGAGTTGGGCATCTTAAAGGAGTTCTCCACAATGTCTTTCAGAAGACATGGAAGGGATTGGAACAAAGTGATCTGTGTTTCGTAGTTTACTAAGTTTGTCATATTAATCTAAAATGCAAGGTATGGAATTTCTCTTAGTTTTCAATAAAAAAAGCTCTGAACAAACCTCTTGTTCATAAAAAAAATTAGCTGAGTCAATTTCTACTGGGAACAGACATGACAGAAAATGTTGTGGGAAAGTATCTGTTACTGAAATACAATCATATCACTAGAATAAACACCTGTTAATGGTAACAAAAGAAACAGCCACAACAGTGTGAATTTAAAGTTACTTTAGTACTGGGAATAACACAGTGCTACAATAGAGACTGAATACTAAGATGACAAATAAAAAGTACTTATTACAGGTACATAAAGAAGCACTTCGTTGTCACCACTGTGACTCACAGTGATCTGGTACTCAGTACTATTTTGTTAGAAATATTAAAGCTTCTTGTGATGCTCACCAAATTAAGTAAGAAATTTTGAAACGATATCTACAGAGCAAGCAATATTATTCTAACACAAGAAATACCCTTGTAAGGCACGTGACAGGTTGCAATGCTGTGTCCCAGATGCCATTTGCTGTGAAGCAACAATCTCATTTCAATGACGGAGGCTTAGAGGGAGAGAGATCAAAGAGAGGGCACAGCCACAGCTCTTACCAGCTGCTTCCTGACATTCCTTTTCTCAGGACAAAGGTTTAGTCTCTTTATAACATGCAGTATCAATGCAAATTAAACCCATCATTTCTTGCTGACAGAATTCACCATCTTGTCCACAGAAATTAACACAACCTATTTATACTGAAATTAATCCAAACTCTCCAGTAGCCAAAAGAAGGATCTGATTTTTCAACTGGAAGATATTGTGTTAATTGCAAGGCACTTAGCAGAGCAGTTAGGTTTTGTATTAGGTCTTAGAACTGCCTTTCTTGTCCCACAGATATCAACTAATTTGTGCCTTCTGTAAGTATAAGCCCAAAAAAAGCACTCCTACTTTACTGTGGACAGGGCACCTACATTAACTGTAAAGAATATAGTGTGTCCACCTGATGGCACCGTAGTAAGTACAACTACTCAACACTGATGCATTCTCTCTTACTGTGCTTTTACTACTACTTCAGACATAAGAGTTTTTGCAGTTCCTTCAAGAAAAATGATACTACCCTAGCACACTTACACCTCCATGCAATATAAATACACTAATTTCAGAAAACACCTCTAAGAAAACATTCAAAGCATCCCTCTGAAGTGAGTAGGTTTTAGCTAAAAACATTGCCAAAGGACACAGAATAAAAACACATTCCTTTGGTGTGCTGTCACAGATTACAATAAAACGAATTCCTCTTTCCTTTCTACAATGAGTTACAGCCAGAAACATTGTTGAACACCACAGCTGTTGACAGAACTCACTTAATTTTTAGATTCAGAAAGGGAAATGCATGCTCAGGGACAGGAGGTGGGGAAAAACAACCAAAGCAAGAAAACAACTCCCCCTGCCAAATATTCTTTACTGTAACATATGTATGTCCCTACCTATACACATTAATACATGCAGTTTCAACACCTGTGTTTTATTCAGAAACACCCACAATGCAGACAATATTTATTTTTACAGAAATCTGTAAGATAATATGTTCCCAGTCTGTCCATTTAAAGTTAAGTCTTTCTTTTATCTCTGAAGATGAGCAGAAAGGAGTTGCCAGGCACTAGTAACCAGCCTTCCAGCAGTGCCTCAGGCTCAGCAGGACCCTGCAAGAATTAGCTGGAAGGCAGATGATGGACACAGAAACGTGCAAGTAATTAACAGCAGATTTGAGGGCAGCTCTGATATCCTGTTCTCCTCCCACTAACTCTTCCATTAATTCACCAAATTGCTCAAAGATCTGTAGGTATAAGAGCTTTCCACCTGAGTGGATTTCACACTAAAGCATCCAAATGAGTCTGTAGGAAGTGGCTGTGATCCAACTCCTGCAAACTAAATTACAGCAATAAAATAATCTTTCACATGCTTTTATCTGCAAGGATCCTACAATTCTATTTGTGATAGCCTTATTACATAGCATGATTAACCAATATCACAATGAAAAAGGCCAAAAGATTTCTCTAGCTTAGGTTCCAAAACCAACATACACTATGTTGCACAAGCTCCATTATCCTTTGTAATAAAACAAAAAAAAACCCCAACCAACCAACAACAGAAAATAGTAACACCTTTTCCCACTGTAAGTTCTTTATGCTAGAAAGATCTTCAGGGACACCACGCACTGTTTTATGACAAACTAAGCACTGGATTGCCAATCTCTCAAATGACCAGGTTTTGTAGAAAACAGGTAGAAAAGTAACAGAGCTGCCTCAGCCTCTTACAGGATTCTGAGAAAGCCACATATCACAGTGAAACACACTCCCTTTTGCATGAGTTTCAGCAACACTTCTGTTTACTTGAGTAACC